AAACATATTGTATTACCGCCACACATCCCTAAGAGGGAAGGACGTCCGTGATAAGTAATATATACAGGACGGCAACGAGAGTTTACTCCGGTGTACAAGAAAGACATCCATGCTATTTACCAATTAGACGTGCTAATATGGGTACCCATGAGTGATCCTCTGAGGCGTTTTGAACTATGTCTTTTCAAAAATTAATGAAGAATAAAGAACGCATTGTAAATAACCCGAGCTTTGAGTCTTTGCTGTTTTGACCTACGGGTTCGAGGTCAGGTCTGGGAGAGATTTGCTTAATCAGTTTGGTGGCGCAGCTTCGCAACAGGCGCTCGCTATCTATTGTCTTGAAGACTAATAAGGTTACCTCTGTAGTTGGTCTATATTCTGTAACTGCTTCTGTCCCTACAGTAATGAATTGTCTGTATGTGGTGAAATGTGACATTTGTGAGATTAAATGGCGAGTACTTTAGACTTTTCGGGCTCTGAAGAAGGTGCACACACTTCACCCAAATACTAGTTGAATAACAAACTTAATGTACTGCTCAATCATTAGCTGATAGACAATCACAATGCCAACATTCTAAGACAGCCAAATGGGGATATATTTTACACCTAATTTGGAGTAACTTTAGTACTTAATAGCTGACATGCCAGATACTAGGACACATGGCAATAATTGCATCAAATGTAATCCTTGACTAGAGATTGGTCCAAAAGTCTTGCACCAAAATATTTTTCTACCGGGAATTTTGTAGAGCTGAAGAATTTTTGTTAATAGAGTATGGTAGAATTAACATGTTAATCATTATCAACCATGCTAATTATTGTGGAATTTTGTTGTTGTTTGAAAAAATTATAAATTTGGTGCAAGACTTTCTGACCATCCTAATATTTATATATGAAGTGACTACACCTCTTAATTACATGGATCCCAAAACATTCTAAGCCGTAAGATAGCGTCAAAAATGGAGTCCTTAATAATGCAAGGGGTTACCTTCTCTGGTCACAAAATTGTTTCCGTTGAAGGAATCTGAGCAGAGTTCTTACCAAATGGGTTAATTTGGTAAAGTTTTCTTCGAGTGTTTATCTCTGGTTGTTTTATACTATTTCCTTGATGCTGACCTGCTGTTCCCGTTGACAAATTCTTCCACATATTTGTAAACAGATTAGCTTTCTGCAAATAAATTAGTGGTGTAGTGATAAGTGGAAATGTTCCCGCAAACCATGTTGTTTTAGTGCGACAATAAAAACTTTTCGTGTCGCAACGGTTTTTTTGTTGTTGATAAAATCAATGATTAAAAGAGTGTCTGAGTGTCTAAGTATCTTCAGCTCATTTATGAACATTGTTATAAAACGAACTTCGCTACTTATTGTTCGCCCATAAGGGCTGGTGAGAAGCAGTTCAATAGTGTATAACAACGTTTCTCGATATTGGAGCCGACAGCGGCCGACGTACTATCCTGGGGATACTGAGTAAATACCACCAACAATTTTGATTTTAACGATAATTTATCTGCAGTAGTCAAATTGAGTGCTCATAAAAATCATTAAAGAATAATATCTGCGACAGTTGATTTAATGCTTCTCTGAAGCGTTCCAAAGCGAACGAACAAATGAAGACATTTGTTTCTTTTCCACATTCTTAGGGATAAATGTCGTAACTGGATTTGTTTACTTTTTCTCTTTTTTCAAATCTCGTGGCCATTCGCCAATATCAAGGTAACTTTCCAAAAGCCAAGATAAACACAAAAAATTACATCTTTTTGCTCAAGGTCAACAACATTCATTTAAATAATTCCTCAAGCCAAATTAAGAGAAAACGTATTTGAGAGAATTGGGGTGCAATTTTCTAGTTATATTTTTGGTTTTAATTTCAAATCCACTACTTCATTGGATT